TCTTAGAAGTCTTGGTTGTATTTCCTATAGACTTTGTGGACATTTGAACATAGTTCTTGCCATTTCTTCAGAGATCTGGTAGCTATTGGTGGTGATATTAATGAAATCTGAGTGAAAATGATGTTAGCAAAATTGTGGAAAACCAAACTTTAAAGGATATCTTTCAGCCTTCTATACAGCCTAAATTTACTCCATGAAATCTAACAAGAGAACTGTCAGAAATGAGTATCTCTTTCCCCCTTGTTTGGAAAATGTGTGCGTGTTCTGATCAAGTTCAATTTATAATAAACTGGACCTTGAGAGCAGGATCCTGACACTGTTGATAATGTATGAACTTTCCTTGTGATCTTGGTGAGAGAAACCTGTGCAAATCTCTGATGCCCTCAAGGCATTTAAGGTCCAACTAGGTTATAGGGGCTGATAAAAAAATGGAGTGAAAAAAATCAGAAAGAAATCTTGCACTATTTAAGACTTTGTTTTCATTTTGTATTATGCAATATAGGACACTTTCTTTTTTCTTTTTTCCATGTTTTCCTGTTTTCTGGTACTTTATTTCTTCATGCAGAAATGTAGATGGTACATGGTCTTTAGTTTTCTTTTTTTTTCCCCAAATGAACCTGTCAAAGCTAAATAATGTTAGGAAATTTTAAGTTTGAAGAAGAAAGGAAGAAAAATTATTTTTTTGCTACCTAAAGAAAAAGGGAGGATTAATTAAAAGTTTTGATGAAAAGCTGTGAGATTTCAAAGCAGTTTTCAGTAAAACTTTTGCTTGGAAATTTTTTTTTTTTTTTTTTTTTTTTTTTAAGTGAAAATGCTTCCCATGAGAACTGCCACCACCTCTTATCCCAGATTTCCATTTAAGGTGACTGAGCAAATAAATCTGCTAGAATCTGGACAGTGTGGAAACTGCCACCACATCCTGTCAGGGAAGTGAAGTAGTACACCATCCCTCTCTGTTGTCCAGAGAGAAGCAGGCTGGTGCACTGCAAATTCCTCTCGTCCTGGAGCCACAGGAACTTCATCCAGATTTTATCTGAAAAATCTTACAGGAGGAGTACATCACTTCATCTTCTCTGAGCGCAGCCTGTGCCTTAAAACTGTTATCTACACCTTGGAAATTACTTGGGATGTGTAATTTCTTATCAGTCACAGAATCACAGAATATTAGGGATTGGAAGGGACCTCAAAAGATCATCTAGTCCAATCCCCCTGCCGGAGCAGGAACACCTGTCAGTCATGGCAGCATGTTTGTTACTTTTTAAAAGAAGAATTAGAAAGGAGGTTAAACAGTGTAAACTGACATTTTTTTTCCTTAGATTTCAGAAAATGTAATAGCTTTTTTCTGAAGTATTAGTGCAAGTTAGCTGGAGAGATAGAAAGCCTTACTTTTGATAGAATTAAATTCTTGAACAAATACAACTTTAGTGGGAATTGTAATTTTAAATTTTCTACCCTGAAACTGAAGTGTGCTGGCCAACAGTTACCATCAACTATGGCCACACTTACTTTATTTAAAGTCATTATTTATAGTTACTACAAATCTCTGTTGCAGTATTTTTTTGAATACATGGCTGAACATATTGATCTCCTTTCTTTCTATTTCTTGATCACAGGTATAAGTTACCAGTTGGTTGTATGACAAAGGAAATAGATTTTAGTAAATACAGGATGAGATGTTTGAATTGTTAATTTCCAAATGTCATAATACAGTTGAAAAAAATATTTAGCAGTTACCATTAAATATACAGGGGTTTTGAGCTCCAGGGTTAAGAAATGTGGAGCTAATGAACCACAGATCTTAGACAAAGACTGCAAGATCAAGTGGATAATTAGAAATTGAAAGCTAGAGAAAACTGATCTTCAATCCAGTGGCCTGACTTGTAGTGTCAACAATCTTATGAATCGGTCTCACTGACAGTGCAGGCTTTAGTTAACCCATATGTGAGGCACATAAGCTTTAAATGTTACAACTTAGCCCTTTTCTACACTCTTTTTAGACACAAATACCAACAGAGATGCAGCTGAGTTTTCTGTGCAAATTGTCTAGGTCTTCTAGGCAAGATGGGATTTATTTTTGCCTTTGAGTCAGAGGCATGGCAGTTTGGTTTTTGTAGATGTGCAGACATACATTGTGATCTAAGGAAAGAGAAGTCTATTTTGTGGAAAGATTGTACTGATAACTTTTGCCCAGCTTCTTCCTATCTTGCCAGGAACATGGAAAAAAAAACCCCACTTTTCTGTAATCTTTCTTATGCTTGGTCTACAGTGTTGTGTAGGGTGCATTCCTGAGACAGAGTGGTAGCTTTCCTAGATAAAAGTAGGTGTTTCAGACAAGAGCAGTGTGAGTGTGAGCAATATGAGTTCTGTTGAAAAAGTGCTTGCTTAAACCACCCTGAATTTTGGGGGTTTTTTTATGTCATTCTATTTCTCATTGCAAACACTGAGAATTAGGCATTTATGACTCTGTCTTCAGGTTGGGCACTATATTTCCCCAAATTCTGAAGTGTGTTGTTAATGGCAAGGTCAGTCGGCATAGTTTTACTTTAAAAATACAGCCTTATTCAGAACAATCGCACATCATCCATGCATTTCAAATGCAAAATGACAAACATGAAATCTGAGAAGGAAAGCGTTCCAAGAAAAGTTTGCGGGAAGAAGTGTAAACTGTATATATGCTTGTCTGATTGACTGGCATTCTACTTCTGCTTATTTCATTCTGTGGAAGTAAGTTATATCTAACCAAAGCAAAATGTTTCTCTTTCAGTTCAGAGTTAATTTTCCTGTTCGTAGTTTCTTTCTCTGTAATTCTGATTATCTGCACTAATAAGGCTTCAATAATTAGTCATTTGGAGTTACTTGTTGTAGGATAGCCTAATAATATCACCCAATTTCTAAGTCAATGGGTCTAGCTTCAAGTGGTTAAACTGACAGTTGTGGGTTGTACCTTGACCACTTCTCTTTGGCTGAGCCCTGTTTCTCTTGTAACCAAAGGGCTCCTGTTACCATGGAGGTATCCTGTGCCATTGCTGTGAGAGGAGGAGGTTCCTGCCCCTTTACATGGTATAAACAGGGCAGAGAGTGAATCAGCAGACTTTTGCACTACTTTCTAAAAAGAACTAAAGAGAATTTTTTTTCTAGTGTTCCTTTTTTGTTTATATACTTGTGGAGTTCTTTTCACATCCCTTGCCAGGTTCAACTCCAGGTGGGCCTTGCCTTTCCTAATCACATCCCTGCAAAATCAAAAATCTCTTTATTTCACTGGGGTCACCTGACCCTGCTTACACCCCTTGTACTTCCTTTTTATGTCTAAATTTAGATAGGAGCTTCTTGCTTATCCATGCAGGCCTCCTGCCACCTTTGCTTGATTTCCTACTCGTTGAGACAGATCTTTCTTGAGCTTGGAGGAGGTGGTCTTTGAATAGCAACCAACTCTCCTGGACCCTTCTTCTCTCTAGGGCTTCATCCCATGGGATTATTCCAAGCAGATCTCTGAAGAGGTTTGGATCTGTTCTTCTGAAATTCTGGATTGTGGTCCTGCTGTTTGCCCTGTTCCTCCTCTTAGTATCTTGAACTCTACAATTTCATGGCCACTGCAGCCAAAGCTGCCCCTGATTTTCATATCCCTGACTTTTTCTTTCTTGTTTTTATGTATTAGCTCTAGCAAAGCACCTTTCATAGTTGGCTCCTCGATCACCTGTGTCAGGAAACTTGTTAATGTACTCCAACTTTTCACTTAACAAATACAAGTAGGCATGTTAGCGTCTTGCTCTTTGTCATAATTTTGGTAGCAAATTTGCAGTAGTAATAGAATTAGAGTTCTGTCTTTCTGCTCTAGCATGAAAATTATTTAAAGACTGAGCATTAAATATGGAGAGTAGTAATTTTCAGTGATTTTGTAGTCTACATTAATGTTTAACCTGTAAGCTTTATCTTATAGTTTTTTTCAAAAACTAGATAAAGTGCATAATGTTCTCATGTATTTACTCACCACATAACTCTAAAGTAATGAGGCTCAGTCTCTTTCCAGAAGCACAACAGAATGACTGCTAAATTTTTCCTCCTCTCAAGGCTGCATTGTGACCACTTGGCTGCATTTTTTTTAATTGCCCAAATACTTAATGCTTTTACTCCCGGCACTATAAAGATCTTATGCAGACCAAGGAACATGTTTTCTCAGCCTTTCCTACAATGCTGTACTGCACTTTCTATGTACTAAGGACTTCCCTTAATACTACAATGTAAACAGTATAGCATACAGCTCTTACATTTGGAAATTTTGGATAAAATCTTAGTTTGTATTTACTGTTGTTAAGTTACACATCTCCTTTCTGCATCAGATGCTGCTGTTATGGCTTATACTGCAAAGTCTTTTGCAATGCGTCACGTAATTTTCTTCTTCATTTCAGGGTCACAGTACCCAGTTTTCCACTGCGTCAACAGAATCACGCATGAGGAGGTATCTGAGAGTTACTGTGACAGCAGCACCAAACCCATTCCAGAAGAGGAGGCCTGCAACCTCTTCCCATGTCCAGCTTTGTAAGATCCTACAATTTAATTAAAGCGAAATAAGCTAATGTCATTGAGGTTTTGCATCTGAAAGATGCTATTCTAAGTAGGAAACTAGTTTGAACTTTTAAGTACTATGCACTTGTGTTAGAAAGTGTAGTGGATATTTTTTCCTGAGTTGTTGGTGGCCTTCTTCCCCTTCACAGGCATTCAAAGAAGACAAAAGAGAAGGTGGCAACAAGTAAGTGTAGTATTTTCTCAGAATTTGTGTGATTGTTCAGACATGCACCCTATACATGGTTTCTCTATGGGTACATTTTTTTTTACAACTAACAGGCTTCTGCATATACTTGTCTAAAAGAAGAGGCTCTGTAGTTTATATCACACCACATTGGACCAGTGTGCTGTAGTACCCACCTGTTCATTCCATGGTGTCATATTTAAAGATGAGAATAGGCTGATAGTGCTCACAACAGACCCCTCATAAACATCACCTCTCTTTCCTAGAATTCAGTAGTTCTTCAACTTGAAGACTGGATTCTGAAGTTGTAGTTCTTGTTTCCAGCACCCTTGCCATCAAGAGACTGCGACTTAGAATTGGTTAAGCAACTTACTTTAAATAGTAAAAAACTATTCATCCAGGGTCTCAGGGTGTATGCCAAGAAGAGAAAAGGGTTAAACCCAGTTGCCGTTATAGCAGCTTTATTTCAGGTCAGCAGCTCTATTTTTGATCTCTCTTGTGGTTACATTCTTCAGTTCTCTTCTGAGCAGCAAGTGGCCACTCCTTATCCCATGGAAGTTTCTAATGGAGTAAGTGCTCTTACAGTGTTAGAGATGCCTGACAAGCAATTTCCTAGTGCATATTAGATACTCAGGAACTTCTAAAGCTGTTTACTTGGAGATGTCTTCTATCACCAAGCATTTTTCTCACCTTTTTCTTTCTAACAACTCATATTAATTCAGCTTCATTTGTTTACACAGGATAATAGCAAGAATATAAACAAAGATATGTAAATATTTATTAAAAAGAATACAGAGATTTTGCTTGCTCTCCACAAGAGTTCTGAAATAAAATGTGTGAACAGCTCAGATACTGCCTTTATTTGTGTATGTCTTCATGCTTGAAATTAAAACTGAAAGGGGAAAATGACATGTTTATACAAAAGTGATTAAATAAATACAGTGAAATCTTGGAATGAGAAGAATTTGTTTCATCTTATTCATTGCTTATCGTTTGCTATTTCAGTTTTACCGATGAATGACTGTCTGGATGTGTTACGTGATTTTTGTGGTATTGTCCTTTTTTAGAGCCTTTGCTGCAGAAAAATTTTATGCAGTGCATCTTAATTTTCTGTGAAGTGTCAATAGAGCAATAATATATATTATAGATAGTTTATTTTAAAAACCAAACAGCTATTAGTAGCTTTATTAATGTTTGTAATACGTCTTGAAACCACAAATTGTCCAATCTGTATGCATGCTTATTATTATCAAGCACTACAGATAGATCGGTTACAAGTATATAATATTGTCTTCATAAAGGATTAAGTTAAGCATGCAGGGGCTTAAGTGTAATTTTATAAACTTTTGTACCAGCATCAGAATAATGTCATTCGAGTTCTGTTAACTATAGTATTAGAGAAACCTTTACTGAAAAAAATACATCCTCTTTTTTTTCTTCTTCCTTTAGCTGGGATATAGGGGAGTGGTCTGAGTGCAGCAAAACATGCGGCCTTGGTATGCAGCATCGACAGATCTTATGCCGGCAAATGTATGCCAATCGTACCTTGACCGTTCAGCAATACCGCTGTCATCACCTGGAGAAACCAGAGACAACCAGCACTTGCCAGCTGAAGATCTGCAGTGAATGGCAGATTAGGACAGAGTGGACCTCAGTAAGTATGATTGATTGATTTGAGGCATAAAAGCTCTGAAAAGAGTAAGAATTTTCTTCCACGTGTCACTCATCAAACATTAAATTTGTTTTTGTTTAAAACAGGGAAGTGGCATGTTAAAAGCGTTGGAAATCTGTGAATCTTAGTTCAGGAAAACCCTGCTCAATTATGACCATTAAAGTTTACTGTTTGTAACCAAAAAGAAGCTGAAAAAGAGCAATTGAATAGTGCAAAACATGCAGATGTGTGTGTACAGAAGTACACAAGCTTTCTAAGCAATGGGTTTTTTTAAATGCTGTATGAATTAGAGTTGGGAGAGTCCTGAAAGGTTTGCCTGTGGTGGCGAACTTACTGCTCTTTCTCATAGCATGTAGAGTTTAGTTCCAGGAATTATTTAAACCCCGTGTATATTAAGGCTAGAGTCAGTAGTTCCTCTCATTGGTTTGAGGCTACACCAAGACTTTCAGAACAATGTGAATGGTACACTTTTGAGCTTTAATTTCTGTGTTGCTTACAAAAGGTTTGACCAACCTGACAACCATCTGAGATACTTTCATGGCCATTGCGTGAAAGAGAAAATATCCTGGTATATTAAATGTAGTGATAAAGAAGTCTCTTTCAGCTGCCTGTGAAACAAAGCAAAAAAATTGTAGAGTTGCTGAATTATATGTGTGGATAGACTGTGAAAAATTCCAGCTTAAACCCTGAATGCATGTCACAGCATGCAGTGTGTTGTGCATGGGCTAGGTGCACTGGCAGTAGCAGCACAGCTTTCCATCTCCACAGTCACAGTACGATAAAGTGTCATGCAGCAGACTTTGTGTGGTTTTATCGGGGGTCTTCCCCTATGGTAAAGCCTATGTGAGTTAACTCCTTCAGTTGCTGCAGTTCTGAGGCTGATGGTGCCATTGTTAACTTCCTCGTCATGGAGTATCTGTGATTTGTTGATCTATTCCTGATTCAGAAAAATAGAATTACCTAGACAGATGAATGTAAAGATAAGTAGGTTGGTTAATTCATTATTCATGATGAATTAAAAGCCATCTGGAGTTAAAGGACAGTAAAATTGGTATTAAAGGTAAGTTTTGATTATTTTATTAAGTTGATGATGAGAAAGGGGAGCTGATCTTGTGTATTGTTACATTTTGAGAAGTATTTCAGTGTACAGAGCCTTTAATGGTTTACTGCGAATGGTGAATCAAGCTAAACAGATGCTTTAGGAATTGCAGCTGGTTGAATATAAGTGTAAGTCCAATAAAATTCTGTGATAAATTTCCTCTTGCAAGTAAAATTGAAGTTCTTGGCATGAGGAAGATCCATCATAAAGAAAGGAGCAATTGAGTTTGCTAACTGGTTTCAGTAGAGCATTTATTTGTGTTTGTGCTTACTGAAATACAGTTACGTTTTCACTTTGGAGACAGCTCTGTGATCTTAAAAGATCTTAAAATCTTAAGCCTGTCTTAAGATTTTAATGTGCTTACTGTTTTTTCTACCATACAAATGTTAAAAACTTTGATGTAAATCTGATTAGAAAAAATGGCATTGTAATAATTTTAAGTTTGGAGTCAGCAGAATAGACTTTGAGAGTAACTGGAGAAATTGTCCCCTGTATGACATAAGGAATGGGGTATTTGTTTTAGTATTTTGCTATTTAATGACCTCACTCATGTAGTCTGGGTTTTGGCCAGTGTTCTAGAGTGAACAGTTGAAGAAACAGCTGCAGTCAGAAGATGAAGTCTGTGAGGTGTCTTGCTGCAGGGAATATATTTTACATGGTAAATAACTTTGACATGTAAATAGAGTAGACATAATTAAGCATCCGAAAGCAAGGGAAAAACGAGGCTGCCTTTGGAAGCTCTGCTAGGTACCCTTGTATGCAGGTGCTGCAGTCTTTAATCTTCACATTCCCAGAGATTTTCCCCTTTAATTCTAGAATGTTTACTGGACTGATCAAACATTTCATGCATACACAGTGGAAAATTATGTTCCCATCTTGCTTCATGATCTGGATGCTTCACATCATCAGGCAGAGATACCAATAGCTGTCAGCATTCTCTGAGGTTGAAGAAAAGAGAGCAGGAAGAGAAGGCCTTTACTTGTAAGAGGGATTCAGAAGTTCTGTTTCTTTGCATTTCTCTGGCTTCATATCCACTTCAGTCAAGATCAAAATTACACAGAACATGTCAGCCTGCTATTCAAATACCAGCAATTCATTTTCGTAAGGTGCAGCATGGCCTATTGAAGCTAGGGTTTAATTTTATTTTTTCCAAATGTATCTGCATAGTATACTGTAGAATACTACAGACTGAGAATATAATTCAAAACCACTAACGCATTTTTATTCCCTGTTCCTAGCAATCTAGAATAGTTCTGTAGCTTCTGTGGATGAATTAGCAAGAATGGATGAACTGTACATTCCCAGCTCCCTGATAAACCACTGCAGTTCTTGCACAGCATCCTGATTCAACCTCCCTTTTCTTACAGTGTTCAGTGCCTTGTGGAGTGGGGCAGAGGACCAGAGATGTGAAATGTGTTAGCAACCTTGGAGACATTGTTGATGATGAGGAATGTAACATGAAGCTGCGGCCAAATGATATTGAGAACTGCGACATGGGTCCTTGTGCTAAGAGCTGGTTCCTTACAGACTGGAGTGACAGGGTAAGGCTTCTCATTATCGTTGTGCTGATAGATCTTGTAAAACAACTTAGGTGCCTCAGAATTTAGAAAATATACGTCTGTACAGCCATAAAAGGCATGATCTTGTTTTCCATGTTTATCCTTGATCTGTTAAACAGGCAACAAAACAAAAAATAATGATCCCAAGGACATCTTGTGTTTGTGTTAGATCCAAGAATGCATAGAAAGGGCAAGCGTGTGGGTACATGGCCAAACATCTGGATTTAGAATTGGCTCTGTGTCTGAACTTCCCATATTGAGTGTGCTGAGATTTATTATTCTGCCTTGCTTAGCCCTGAGTCTCAAGATTCAGACTCTAAAAGTTTCCTTACTGTTTTTTTAAGGGAAGGAGATTTGAGGCCTGATGTCTGGGTTTAAGTTCAAGCCATAAAACAATTATCCTGTAGCTGTGAAAAGAGGGAAACAACTCAGGCAAGGTTTATTCAGGCTTTTGTACTTTGTGAACGTGGATGTATTTTTTTATTCAAATGAGTCATATTCTCCACATGAAAGTGATGAAAACAGTGGTGATTTACCTTGTTTGATGATTAGGCTCAGGGTTGTTGTTCAGTAGTGATATTTATATGTTTTCATTAAAAGGCTTACAAACATGGGCTAAGAAGAGCCTGGTATTTTGGTCCCTCTTGTGGATGCTTGCATATCAATTTAATCTGTAGACAAGTTGAGCCTTCAGTTTGTAAAATCCTGATTGCATCTCCCTTTTCTTTGACTGGTTGTTTTGGCAGGCAAATAATCTAATTTGTTGTTGAGGCTGTAAGATTACATTCATAACTTAATGGATTCATTATTTAGACCATTTTGTGGTAGTATCTCTGGAAGCTAGGAATGTCTGGCTCATAGGTTATGCATTAGTTTGGACACTCAGATGATTTTCCACATGTTTTAGATGCAGGGAAGGAGGAAGAACTTCACACGTAGGACAAGTACCTGATATGTCACATAATTTTAAAAAGGCTGATGAGACTCTTGCTATATGTAAAGGCCTGCAAAATTTTCAGCCTCTATGCAACTCAAATAGATTTTATTAAAAAAAATAATTATACACTAATAAATCTTCGTTGTTGTTATTTGAACTTTTTTTTCCAGTTGTTATTCACTCAGTGTACACTCTTGCATAGCCTGGACAGAAAGTTACCAGGTAAAGCATAGGTATTAGCACAAATGGCAGGGGGTTTTTAGCTTGTACAGCTGTTCCTTGTACAGTGCTATTAAAGTGATATTTTACAAATAAGAGAGAAAAATGCATTCTACCCTCAAAGACATCTTTCTTGAAAAAGCTGGCCCAGCTACTATCTGCTAGTGCAGTTCCACCACGTGAAGCACATACAGTCAAGTAAGTAAAGACTTTAGCATCAGTGTTTTCTTCATTATTCTACATTGATATTTTGTGCTCTGCAGAAATAAAAGCAGTTTTTGTAGCTGAAGGTTATGACTGTAGAATGTTATTATGCTTATTTATATGTATTAAATGAGACATAAAAGTGAAGCAGGTAATGTGGAAAATGTTGAAGTTTTTTCTTACCACAAACATTTCAGGGTCAGAGAGTAAAGAATGGATTTTGTTACCTTCTCAGCTTATATAAGTGTACAAATTAATTTCTTCCAAATGCTTGCTACTGTAGTTGGCATTATTCACCATCACTTCTGCCAGCAGTGGGTTTGGAGTTTGATTCACAAAGAGAATGTAAGGAACAGCTTATTTCAGGAAAAAAGCAGATTTGGGCTAGAATGTGCAGAATCTTCTAATATTCACACACACCTTATAACTTGATGTTCAGAGACATTTAGTGGCAGTGACTCCGGTGGAAGTCAGGAATATAGGAGTAGTCAATAACTTTGCAGTCAGGCCTTTGGCCATTAGCTTTCTTATTGTGCCTTTCAAGGCTGTTTTTTAGGATCAGAAGTCTGTCTTTCTTTGTTGAAGAGTGTGTTTTTATTGAAAAAGAGAAGAGTTCTGTCATGGAATGGAAATAGACATTCCCAGGTGTATGGACTTTGCATGTGTAATTTCCCCAAACAATTCTTTAAAAAGTACTTTAAGCCAAGCCACACTTCAGCAATAAGCATAGATCAGTGATGGGCAGCCACAAATGGTTCAGATAAGCAGCCAAAAGTTCAAATGCTTAAAGAAAGCTTGTTCAAACCTCTTGAGTCTGCAAAACTGTGGTGGAAATCTCACAAGAACAGACCTTCTTTGTGAGATTTATTACATGCCTACTTCAAGTCCCAGCTGGAAATACCACAGAACAGTCTTTCCCATTGTATTTTGACATTTCAGCCGTAGCTAAAACTTAGAGGTAAAAGAACTTATCATAACTTTTGAGAACGTTAGAACCTTGAAATGGCTGAGTTCAAACTTGGTTACAGCCCTAAGAGAAGGCCTGGCCTATACTTTACTGAACCATTTTCCAAGCACTTAATGTGTACTGTCGCACATGCAGCAAGTAGAGATTTCCAGAGGCTTGTCAGGGATTGGTTAGGCACATACTTTCTCTTTCAGCAAGGGATATATCAAACTTCCATGTCCAGATTTATGTGATGCATGGAGCATTACAATATAGCCTTGGTTAATTAGTAAAACATCAAGAAAAAGCACAGTAACATAAAAATTACAGTTGTCTTTTCTGCCAACAGATGTTAAATTTCAGGATTTGATGACTGTGATATATATTTGTGCAGAATTTAACAAGGATGTTCTTTAGCACAGGGAGAGAGAGATGAATAGTCACAACTGAGTTTTAAGAAAAGGACGGGATCTAATTTAGGATTGGTGGAAAGATTTTGGGTTTTCTTATTTTACTGAAACTTTTCAGAGTTTTAATTGATGAAAAATCATGCTAGTTGCATTCATTTTCAGTAATGGTTTCCGGGGTTCTGAATTGGAAGATTATATAATTACATTTTCCTAAATGTAACTTCTGTGATGCAACATGTGCACTTAAAAACCTGCAGAGTACATAAAGAGTTGTGTGTAGGAGTTGTGTCTCCTTCCCAGGGTGGGATGTATGTAGCTTTATTCTGTAAATAATGCTTGGCTGCCTTCTTGACATATTCTCCCATCTTGTTTTCCCACAACATATTTTTATGTATTTTATGGCCCACCTGTTTCCCTCCATGGCATTGACCTTGGATTCAGTTTCTGCACAGACTGATTCTTTATAAATATACTTAATCCTAAGTAATTAAAAAAACCTCCATGTTCCTAAAACAATACAGTTCTTGGTTTGAGTTATTTTGATAAACAGGTATCAAGAGTCTCCTGTATGTATGTCACACACACACTTTTACCTGTAAAGCTTATGAGTTCTGTAGCTACCATGTGCACACTGGTGAAACATGTGAAGGAGGGAAGGAAAGTAATTCATCCTTAAGAAACAAACCCTTATATTCTGAAAAGTAAATGCTCTATTATTTGTCTTTGAAGTAGATCTAAACACCACATTCTGATATCCTTCAGGCTTGATCTTGAGAGAAGCAGAAGTTCTTACTCATTTCAGTGGAAGACATTATAGGTTAAAAGCCTCTAGCAGCAAAGTGAGACTCATCAGACTGTATGTGCCTGTCTTTACATTTATTGCTCTACCTTGAGTATAAATAAGATAATTAATTTAAGTTTCATGGCTTTGTCTTCTACATGATCTTTAACACATTTTGATTATAGAGAGTCTGGACAAACTTTTGTGATATTTTTACATGCGTCTGTAGAAAGATGGTTTCCCATCTCATAATTCTCTTAAGATGTCATACTGTGTGAAAATGGCAATGTTCCACCATACTGCATCCATTAATCATTAGGGTAAAGCTGGTGAACCTTACTGAACTTAGCCACAAAAGTGGATTGATGGGAGCAGACGAGATTCTTGCAAACATTTCACATGACTGATTCTTTGACAGCTCTAATTGCTGGAAAGTTTACTTCTCCTATGGGTCAGAAGCGGAAAATGGCATTCTCCTGATTTACAGCAATGGGAGACTCACCAGTGTTTCCTTCCAGCTAACTGAAGCTTCCCCTCTTGCATTTTTGTTTATTCCTCATTGCCATCTCCTCTGTTCATTTGTTTCTCATTTTATGTTTAGAGCATACTTAGAATAGAAGCCAAAATACAAACAATTCTTAGATGTTAATGAGATTCTGAGGCCAAAATAAAATCTTGGGAAGAAAGAAAAAATGGTGCACATCAGGGAACAAAATCAAAACAGATCAAACGCCTGCTCTGGATTTCACTCTTCATTAAAAGGAGTAACAGCGATGTTTCTGTAATATTTTCCATTAGAGAACTGTAGTATGCTTTGTAAAAATCATCGCTTTATTCCTCACAATCCTAAAGCATTATTAGCAGGTACAACTGTGTTTGTTGACCAGTCAAATGTGGAACCACCAATGAATATTGCACTTTTCTTTCACTGTTTTTTTATTTAAATCTGAATGGTTTACATAAAATCTCCTGGATCCTGAAAAAAACAAAGGAAAAGAGTCTGCTGTGGAGCTTATGCAGGTGTTTAGTTATTTTTTATTCTCACTGTTTGTTTTCAGCATAAAATAAAAACAAGAAGGGGTTCCATTGATTTCATGTGGGAATCATATGGGAATAGAAGTTTTGCATTCTTTATGCAAATATATAACTTACTTCATGATTTGCAATGAAACATGTAGCCAGGAGAGTTTTGAAGGAGACATTGATAGAAGGCTGGCCAAGACGGAGATTTCTGTTTTCTTCTCTAGAGCTGATCTTTCTGCCACAATTCAGCTGCTTTAGATGAAAATCAGCATATAAAAGTCGGCATGGCAGGGAGGAGCCTTACCAGCTTGGGCCCACAACATCCCAGTCAGGTCAGCAGGGCAGGCTCATACATGGCAGGCAAGTGTAAATGAGAATCCAGATTATCAGACAAGAGCATGATGATGAGGTAGGTCCAAGGTCAAGCTGGGAAATCAATCCACAGCTCAGGTCCAGTGGCAGTAACCAGTGATCCTGGGGCAGGTCCGTGGGAGTGAGGCAGGGTCAAGGTCAAGCTGCAGGCAGCGATGTGAGTAGAGGCCCCAGTAAGGGGCCAGTAAGGCATATTGGTGCACTCAGGCCCTGAGAAGTCCTTGCAGCTCTCAAGGCAAGTGATACTTCCTGTATGAACCAGAGTAGTGAAGAAGTCTGTTCCCTAATGGTACTTACTTCAGAGAGCATTAGTAATATGTAAGTACCAACAGTGTAACCAACTACATATTATTAAGGTAACAGTGCGTATGTAGAAGCAATCATGATCCAGCTGAAGCATCCAGAAATTCTTAAGACCATATTTCAAAACTTTTGTTACCTTGGAAGGATACCATGGATCTGCTGGACTAAATAAATGGATGGTCTGACTTCTGATCCAGCACCTGTTGTATACATAGATGCACTCTGAAGGGAAATAATTTAAATCTAGATATCAGAAAGTGTTTTTGGCAGTATATAAGGATATTTCAAACTATCATACCTCCCTTTTTTAACTTTTTTTAGACTTTTTTACCTTTTTTTTTTTTTTTTTTTTTTTTTTTAAAGAAATCAAGGCTGCTCTCAATAGTTTTGTGTCCTTTAAAAATTTGCCCCCAGTCTTGGAATTGTGGCAAAAGTGAGCACCTGAAATAAAATTCTTAGTTCATTATTGGGAGAAAAAAGGTTACCTAATCCCTCTGAAATCCTTTCTGAACAGGATTTTCTCAGAGAAGGTCAATTAATGCTAAGGAGTTTCATAAATGTATTTCAAAGCTAGATTTTAATTTTTATTTTTTGTAGTAGCGTAACATCAGGAGGATGATTCATAAAAACTTTACTGTCTTGTGGGGAATAATTAAGATTATGGAGGTTAAAGTATGGTAGACAGAAATCCTGCACAAATGGGGAAGTTTTGCTGGAACTCAATTGGGTGTTATTTAAAATTTAAAAATTTAGTTAAGGCTAGCAATGATGCTAGGACCTGGGTGAACAAACTCTTGAGTGCTGGTAGATTTCCTGCTGCCACTTTCTTGTGGTCTGTTGCCCCATTTGAGGGCAATGAGTAGGGCTGGCACATTAGTGAAAGGGAACTGGCACTGTTAAAGGGGTATTTTGCTCCACCATGCCCTGTGCCTGTGCCAGAAATTCAGGCTTCCACTTGCAGTTTTCTGAGTTTGCAGGAACTAGCCTTACTTTCCTGGACTGCTGTTACAGTTGTTTTCTGACAACTATCAGAGCACTGCATGAGGGTTGTTTTTTATTTTTAGTTTTTAATGGGAATGGAAAGCTTCTGAAGCTGAACTCATGAGGGAAGGACCTCAGGAAGAAAAGAAAAGAAATGGCAGACTCCTTAAAACTAGGGAGGGTGTTCCACAGACTAAGGTTTCTGAGGAATTTCTGCCAATTAAAACAAGACAGTGAAACAAAATATTTTTAATAATAGGCCCAGAACAGAGAAGTTGCAGCTTGTGAAAGTTCCTCATGTCATACAATGTTAGGTTATGACAGTTACTATGTATTAATGCAACAAATCAATGGCACAAAATTGAAATTAGTGGGTGTGTCAATTATGAAAACCAAAGGGAGAGGATTCACTATCTAAACACTCCCTACTCCCTGCCTTGGGCTTTGGAAATCATGGCTTTCACATGGAAGATTTTTACTGAAAAGAAGAAAACCTAACACAACGCAGAAACATTCAGTTTAAGTTTGCTTTGTAAATCCTTTGAGGGTAGTTAATCTGTAGTAGAATCTTGCAGCAGAGGGTGGGGACAACCCTATACCTTCCCATTTGGTATTTCCTTTGTTATTTGATATGTAAGCCCAGTTCATGCATAATCATTTAGAACATAAGACTATGTAGATTTTCTGGATGACTCCATAGACTAAACTTCTTCCCAGCTCTGGTTTTCAAAGCAGAAAAGCAAATTAGATTGTCAACTTAAAATTGCTTAGAAATAAGAAAAGTACTTGCAGAGTATATGCATAGTTATCTGTGCATAATATAATTGAACATACTTGCAATGGATAAAATATGAACAGCCACAAAATGTATTTCTGTACAGTGGGTTTGAAAGGTAGGCATTTTATGGGGCTCAGTTAAACAGTTTACCTAGGAGTGGACTGTTTGAAATAGGTTTAGTTTATTTTAGTTTACATAAACAGGAAAATGTTCACTACTAGCACAATTTTACATCATTCTTGTATTTTCAAGATTTTGACAGTTTACTTTGAAAAGACCTCCTTAGCTATCAAATCTGGCTTGCTGAGGAGGTAAGTATATTTTACATATCTTTGTGAAAGTGGAAAATTTTGTTGGGTGCCACCACCACCAAAAAAGTTCATTATGTTACTTACAGACATAATTTAAGAGAAGCTTAATTATTTTATCTTGCAAATGGAGGAAGAAACCATTGCAAACTATGAGTATTTTCTTCCTGTTCCTGTGGAGTACATAAGCATCTCTTTAAATTCTGAATTTCTTGTTCGTTAAAAAATGACTTGTAAAAAGTTGAATCGCTTTTTTAATTTTCTATGAATTCCATTTCAGTAAAGCTTTGTCCTTCTATTTGAACACCTTATGAAAGAAACCAATTTGCAGATAGGAAAAATGTTTTTCTATACTGTATCTGTAGAATAAATATGACATGACTGCATGTTTGACACAAATAACCAGTATTTGTTAGTGCAATTGAGTAAAGAGTAGTCTGCAACCAACTGCACATTAAGTCACTGGTCTCTCTCTTGAGAAGGTGAATGACTGTATTGGTTAATCCCATTATTAATAGTGGTGCTATCATGGCATCTGCTGTTCCGTAGTTGAATTTCTGGATGTGAACCCTTACATTATTAACAAAGGGAACCAAATCAAGCTAATGATTGGTCAGTGCTGTGTCTCATTACCAGTTCTTTGAATAATTCTTACTTTTTTTCAAAAAAGTTTTTTAAAATGTTACAATACAGTGTTACATTCACTCTCAAGGAATGTACTGTTCATTGTGGAAGTAATACACGGTTTCTCATAACTAATTACATTGTATGTTAAAAATAAAATCTGAAATGTCAGTCAAATGCATCTTTTTCTTCCATATACTACGTACTTTATTTGTGGTTTTCTTTGTATGTGTAATACAAGTGTTTGTAGTTGTTTAAATTCAATTATATACATCTCTTTCAGCAAGCTGCACATGGGTTTTTCTTTATTTTAATGGTCTAAATGCATTCTAAAAGAAAAAGAAAGAAAGGGGAGATTAAGAAAAAATTAAAGAATTAAGCAACAAAAAATAGTCTAACACAAGAATTTATTATTTCTCTGGCATATTTCAGTTTTTTAAATGTCAATAGTTTGATGCTGCCCAGAACAGTAGAATATTGCAGATTTTCCCGCTGAAGCAGATGAATGACCAAACTGTAAAGGCATAAATGGAGTTTATCCGGGGTGATTTATAGATGACATGCATACTGTCTCCAAATATGTGATATAAGAATCTGCATATCACTATATATTAAGAGCTTTCAGAATTTAACAATGAAAAGATGAGAATGGTGAATGTTACTGGGAAGTCATATCATTAGGAAGTGAATTTACATAAACTTCTACGGCCACCTCCTGCTAAAACTAATTAAAAACTTACAATTGAAACAGGCTGGGCAATAATTACTGGTAGTCACAGTTATTTGCTGAGCATTTACCTGAATCTTTTGAAACCACCTGTCAAAAAATCTTATATTTTCCTACTTTATTGTGCTCTCATACTCTGTCAGCTTGTTCCATGGAAAAGTTCCAGGGTGCACTATGCAGTCATTTTACTACCAGTGTCACAGCACTCAGAGGCTTCCTCATCCTTTTAACCAGTGTAAGAGTTCACCTGGCTGACGGCTTGAATGGTCAGAGGAGAAACTCATAGAACAATTCAAAGGCTGAAATGAGACTGCTGTCTGAAAAGCTCCTTATTGGTATTATCCCTTCTCAGATCTATTAGTTGGTATGCAGAAAAAATGAATAAAATTAAAACTGAAAGAATTTACAGACAGGAAGAAGGAAGGAAAAGTAAGAAAGCTAATCAAAACCTATAAAAATTAGATTTATTTCTTTAACTTGTGACTGTAAGGGATAGGTACTACTTTTAGTGTATTCAAAAGTATGAAACTGTAAGATGATTTGCTACAGCTGAATTACAAGTAAAAATAATTGACTTTGCATAAATTCATTTTCTTTTTGTGATTGTTGCTTCTACTCGTTTCATTGTGTAGTCTGGAGGACGGACTAGTGAACTTATTCTGTCTGTCCCTCCCCAGTGTTCCGCAGAATGCGGTGACGGAGTCCGTACGCGGTCAGTGGTTTGTATGACGAACCATGTCAGCAGTTTGCCTCTGGAAGGCTGTGGCAATAACAGACCCCCTGAAACAACTCCCTGTAATAACGGACCCTGTGCTGGTAAATTGGAGTGGTTTGCTGGGGGCTGGACACAGGTAAGCTCTGTATCTAACATATGCATTTATTTTCTGCTGGTATTTTAATTTAAAAAATGTATTTTGTGCATTGAAGATGTGTGCCATAAGATATTTCTACATTTCTGTGGACTATTTGGATATTTTTTTTTCTGTATTTTGCTGAATTGATTTTCAATACTTTTCAGCATCTGCTCTTTTTTCCACTTTGATTAAAATAAGATTTTGTTCTTCTCTTCCTCTGTACCTTCATTTTTATTTCTTATCTACTCACCCAGTGTATTTGTAAAATGAAAGATAACAGAAAGCTGTTTAGCATATTCAGGTGAACACTAAAGCAACAGATGTGCACCTTTTAAAGTACGGCCTTCGTGATCATGCATATCTGTGGGGATATATGTATATGTATATACAGGCAATTTCCCAAAGATATAGAAGACAAAAAACAATGGCTAAACCCCAAAGTTAGCTTCAGTATCATTGTGCTGAAATTCATGATAATAGGTGAAAAGAACAAAATTTGGTTAGTGGCCTGTGTCCTGATGCTCTTTCCTCAAGGTAAATTGTTCCCTTGATCCATATCTCAATAGTCCTTCTTGTTCTAAATAAACATTTCTGCTGTCAGGAGCAAAGGCACTTCAGAAGCTGTCAGCTGGTGCCCAGACATTTATGTGCCTTTGTGCAGGTTCTCATATAGCCCAGAGAGCCTTCCAGACTATTGGTACCAGCATTTCCTCCAGTTGTTAGGGAAAAGTCTCTTGGCTGTGCTGTTAACTCACTGCATTTCAGATTCCAAGATCCTTCCAGGGTGATAAGGAGTTGGAAGTTAAACTGATACAGCTGAGATGGAGATTACAGGGCTACTACTATGCTAATGCTTTCCAGTGTAAGTGATAATTAATTGTATTGTATAAAAGTAATAAATTCAGATTTAAACATACTTAGCTGCAGTTATAATAACAGATAAAATCTGGGCCTTGTTACTTACACCACTCCATGCAGGTGTGTATCCATCCTTACTACCATGAGAGAAGCATTCAATAAGGTCATCCTAACTCCTCCCATTCTGTTCTGAATAAGGAAGTTTCCATCCTTTACAATGTCCTGTTCTTTTAAGCTACTTCACCTTCTTTCTTTGCATGAGATTGAACTGTTTGATGCATACCAAGGGTACAAAGTCTTTGCTGTATGTGATCTGAAAGAAGTGTCTGACAACATCTATTCTGCTGGACAAATTCTGACTTCTCAATAACAAAATGAAAGCAGACAGTCAGTAGACCAGAGAAGGAGGGAACATTTGTGGATGACCTTCCATATTATGCTGCCCTAGAGCTAAGGCTGAATGTTAAGATACTCTTTTGGAGGAACCATTAAAAGAGAGCAGTGGCAGAGTTGTTCAGTGTTAAAGAAAGTGCAGTTATGTTATTTCCTGCAGAATTTAATTTGGTGCGTTCTTCATTCAGCTCAAGGTTTTTCTGCCTATCTGGTAAAGGGATCATAAATTCCACCCAAAATATTTTTAAAAAATTCCCCAGTTTTTAATAATGTTTGATTGGTTTAGGCTGGAAAAAGCCTTTGAAAATCATAGTCCTTTACACAACGTAGAAACCAATATGTTGCTGGAATCATCTAAAAACCTTTTTACATGTGCCAGGAACAGTATTGTGTGTGTATTTAACCTTTAAATGGGCAGTAAGAGTCCATGTGAGTCAAATTTGCTTTTCAGAACTGGAACCAACACTGCATCACATAGATACTTGCAAACATGAAAAGAACACCCTGGCAGATCAAGGCATTTTCTAAAAACCACACAGAATGTGGGGATTTGTAAAGCTGCAAAAATGTGCTCTAACTTTGTAACCCTCAAAAGTTCAGTGCAGTGCATAAAATCCTGCTTCAGCAAGAAGCAGTAAGAGTGTTTATGGAGAAAGTAAGTTATGCTTCTCTTTTATTACAAAAATAAGAGCCCATTTCTTTTTGTAGTTGCGGGCAAAACTATACTTTTAGATTTCTCCAAAAAGACATTTACAGTCATATGTCATCTTCTTCATAAAAATAATATAGAAATATTTTTTCAGTCTGTGGTACCATCTACAATAAAAATTCACATTTTAAATTAAAAATTAAATATGTAATACCAAGTCCTTCAAAATTTTCTTGTCCTGGGTCCTTACTGGGACTGATGGCTACTATGTTGGTACTACATACAAATAATAATAACCTCTAGTCTGCTATTCTGGTTCTGAGAGATAAAAACCCTACCGCAAGAACTTGAGGAATACTTTACCTTTTCCCTTTCTCTTCAAGTTTTACATACACTAGTGATGGAAGGAAAGATACAGTTAAGTTCATTTTACTGAGGAAAGAATATATAAAAATAAAGAAATGGATTTTGGATGTTACTGTCTAGGTATGTGTCCAAGAGTAGGAAATAAGCAAAACTTTACAAATTTTCCTGTTTGAATATTAATTTAAAATGCAACTATATGTGTGTGTGTTGTTTTATTTCAGAAACAATGTGCAGAAACATGTTACTTTGGAAACAAGTTGAAGGACATAAGTAAAATAACAAATTCCACCACTTTTTTTTTTGTTCTCTAATACAGTGCTCTACTGAATGTGGCAGTGGAACTCAACAGAGAGAAGTCATTTGTGTTAGGAAAGCTGAAGGTAATTTTGATGTTTTGAATCCCTATGAATGTTCATATTTGGAAAAACCTCCCAGCCAGCAATCCTGCTACCTCAAACCATGTGGATCTAAGTGGTTTCATACAGAATGGAGCACAGTAAGTCTATCATGTGTTTCTATATCTTTTTCCATGTATATTGAAAGGGAACACCATTTGGATAAAAATGTTGATAATGAAATTGACTTAATCTTGCACAGGAATGATACTAAAAAGAAAGCATGCTCTTTAGTACCCAGTGGAGTTTAGGAAAGTTAGGAGTCACTACATAGTTGTCTTTTCATCTCTGATCTCTTCTTTCAAGAATCTTCGTGTTTGATAAAGTTGGTTTGCCCCTTAGTGAGACTATGTAGTGCCCTCTAGAAGGTCTTTTCAGACCTCTAGTTTCATTAAAATTAAGGAGCATTTAATAAAGAATGAGGAATGTACTCAGTTTTTAAAGTAATTTTTTCCATAATATTTTACTGTAAACTCTTCACTGTAATACTTAGAACGTTACTGAGAGAAAACTTACTGTAGAGCTTCATGTATCTCCAGTTTCCCCTGGAAGTGGACCAGCTACATTCACCAGTGGCACAAAATGCTTTGGTTTCATCTGTCTTTCCATCATTTCCTATACCTGACGGAACTTACTGTTTTTTTTACAAAAAATCAACATTTTTCTCCTAAATGAAAATCAGAAATTCCATTGTCATCTTAGAATGAAAAATGGTGTGAAAACTACTTAGATGATACCATATCGAATGCAGTAACTTGCACCCTTCCTTGAGCCTTAACTGAAATACAGAATGACAGCTCGGAAATGTGAAAGCACCTCAGATGCCTTCAGTTTGAGTTCCCTTAGTCAGGAAACGTGGGAAGTACCTTATCCACATGACACAAGACAGAAATTATTTTGGTTTTCCCTTTTACTAAATGCTTAATTATTTGACTGGCCTACTGGTAGGACCAGAAAGCAGAAAAGAAAGTAGAATGGTTTTGACAAAAGAAATCAGCTGAAGGGAAGCCTAATTTTTCTTCCTTAATTGCAGGTACAGATGTTTATTTGAAAACAACTTCCAAGTTAGGCTCATAGTAAAGGCGTGGAGATCGAAGTATCTTCTTTGATGTTGCTGTAAATTCCTTGGATTCTTTACTGAGCTGTTAGTTTAGATTAAATAACTTCCCCTTAGCAAACCCATTTTCAAATGTGAACCTGCAGGTGTTATGCCACAAAAGATCCAACATCTACATCAATAGGATGCAGCAGATAGATTTGTTTTGAAAGGAAAATATATGCTGTCTTTGGCAGGCACAGAAGAAGCAAGGTGCTAAAACTCAGAATCTGATAGATATTTAGAGATCCCTAGTTACTGTTTAAGTGCCTACTCCTGAGAAGTGGTCTCTAAAAATCCTTAAAGGTCTAAGCCTTTTTGACCTTCTTCACTGTAGGAACAAATATGTATGCTAGCTGAGGTTTTATAAGATTATATGCTAAATGTTTTTCAATTCTTCTTCTGATATTGTTACTGTTATCAACAGAGCATGTGGTGTTTCTTACTCTTGAACCTGAAGAGAAAGGATTATGGGGTTAGCTGTGAGCAGAATAGCTTGTTCTAAGCCCCTGTACTAGGTTTTGAAATTGTCCAGTTCATATCTTCAGCAGACCTTTTATACAACCTAGGATAAATGGCATGGCCTCTCAGTCATGGAGATTAAATGGCTGGCTTACACAAAATACTGCGTTTTCTGTATAGTGTGTTGTATGTAATTCTGTCTTGGTTCCATTTTAAGTGCTTAAGGTCTCTCAAACCTGAAGTGAAGTTGTTATTGTTGGATGCGGGATAATTACAATATTCTATACAGATAGATAACAAGAGTAATTATATTAAAAAACTCCACAAGTGTTGTATTACTGTTGCCACAGGGCTATGTCTTTTCTAAAGTGGGGAAAGGTTGTACTTAAAGATGAAAGAGCAATTTAAGAATATATTACTGAGAATATTTTAGTTAGTTTGCTACAACATCTGATTTTATGATAGTGCTACATTGTTTTTGCAATGTTAGGAAAAGAAATAATTATGCCAAAAAAAGTCAGAAAGAAAACATTCTTACTAGTTTGGGGCTATTAAGGTTTTAATCATTATAAATGACCCAGATTTAATTAAGTTGGTGAGCATTTAAGTCAAACTGGACAGTGAGCCAAATCTCAAAGACCTCACTCAGGCAAAATACTTGAAGTCAACAGGGGATTTGGTTCAGTATCAGCAGAAATGTGTAATAATTGGCTTTAAAAATACCGTGACGAGCAAGTACAAAAGTCTATGGCTTCATAAGAGACTTTGAAGGAACATAGAAATATTTTCTTTAGAAATTCAAAGAAGCCAGTAATACTTAGAAAAAGTGTGCTGGAAGAAGTGAAAAATAATTGAGTGCTAGAAAAAAGGCAATTAAAATTATTCCTGACTGTATATAAATGGAGACAGAAGGGCCGTGAAGGGCAGCGTAGTCAAGTAGTAAAGTTCAATGCAGGAAGTTTGTAAAAGTAAGAAATGTGAAGACTGTGGAAAGAGTAGGTTTGGGAGATACGTATAAAGAAGCAGAGAAGAACAAGACTAATTAGATAAGTAAGAAGCTAACTAATAAATTCAAAAAGGGAAATATCTAGCGTGCTTTCAGTTGCACAGTGTCTATCATGTTTACTTGTCCAGTTGTTGCCCTTGTCAAAACCAAAATTGCACCTGTACGTTAAGGACTTCATAGAAAACAAAAACCAACAGAAATGGTAAAGTTCATAAAAGGCTACCACAATACCTGGGTCTGGCTTCAAGGTTCCCATTTTTTTCTTTCTGTATTTGCGTATCTCATATGGTCTTCATGAACTTCAGCTTTTGTGTTTCAGTGTTCCAAATCCTGTGAAGGAGGATTTCGTGTTCGAGAGGTACGATGTCTATCAGATGACATGACAGCCAGCAGTCACTGTGATCCACAGCTTAAACCTGAAGAAAAGGAACCATGCAACACACAAGATTGTATCCCTGAAATAGGTAAGGAATACGAAACTTCTGTTTTAACTATGGAACTCCATCTAGTGGAGAAAATATTTAATAATCTTGCAGAGGTTTTAGAGTATATTTTCTTTATCAAGTTCAGGGTTTTATTTTTACAAAAAATACAGCTCTTTCCTGTGGTGTAGAAATAGGTTTTAATTTCTGATTAAAAATGTTTTCCTTGTAACATGTGAGAAACTGGTTTACTTTTAAAGTTGCTGAGAATGTGAGAAATCTACTTCTGTGAAAATGGTACATAATAAGGTGTTATTGTGCAGCCTGTTTGCATTCTCAAATGTTTCTCTTGGCAGAGTCTTTAAAACAAAAAAAAAGGATCATGTATGGTATACTGAATTTGGTAACAGGTTCTATAAGAACCAACAACATTAAACTAAGACATTAAGGGCAATTAAGCCATTTTATTTTACATATAGTAAATATACACATAATTTGGCAGTGAAATTAGTAATTCATCTCATACAGATTTGATTTTAATAGTTATGAGAATGATCAGAGAAAGGAAGATGCAAGTATTTAGAAACATTTTTAAATTGATGCTCTACAACAATTTTCAGATGAGAAATATTCTTCAACACAATTTAAGATAACTATATTAAAAATCTGGTATACCATTACTATGAAATTTTTTTATTGTATTTGTGTTGTTATTTATTTGAAACAGGTTTGTACAGAATTGCTCATTTTATCTGCTATTAGTGTGTTGTCATTCAGTCTTTTTCTTAACACCTTAGTTTCTGTGTTCACATATATGATCATATGAAAATCTTCGTCACTTAAAAAATATTTCTAACCCTGTTGGTTGTAAAGGAAAACTTCAACACGTGAGCAGACCACATTCTAACAGCTTAGAAAAATGGGGAATGTTAAGAACACCAACTTTTGTCTTTTTTAATCTAGTTATTTTAAACCATTTGTAATATTTGGAGGGAGGGAGATGGTTTACTATTTTTCAGTACTTGGATTTGTCAGTACTTGAAAATAACAGTTGTGAGTTCTGGTGCCATATGTGCACTGCTACAAGAGATTAGTACCTATGAATCTAAAAATGAAGTAGACAGGTACCAAAGTGAAGGATACTAGAAACTTTTCTATCATCTTTATTCAAGACAAATTTTGTGTTTAAAAAAAAAACCAAAACAAAAACAACCCCCCCCCCCAAAAAAAAAAAAGCCACAACAGTATAAATGGGGATAGGTACATTTCTTCCATGGTTTTATGTATCTTCATAATAAATGTATAAAATCTTGAATAACTTAACTTATTTGCATAGGTAGCCTATTTTAACCTGACAATGAACATTTGAATACAGGTCCAAGGGATTTTACATGGTAAAAAGAATGGAAGTTGATTATTTGTTGCTCTCATACTGTTTTCTTCAGTTTTTTTCTCTCTTCCTTTTTCTCCACAGATGAGAACTGCAAAGATAAATACTACAATTGCAATGTGGTGGTCCAGGCCCGGCTCTGTGTCTACACCTATTACAAAACAGCCTGTTGTGCATCCTGTACACGTGTGGCAAACAGACAATCAGGGTTTCTAGGACGTAGATAACAAATACTCTTCTACTCAAAGCAGCAATGTCAGTCTTCAGATGGAGCTTGAACAGTGTTACTGTTTTGACTACAGCAGCTTTTTGCTTCTTAGAGATGGTTTTTAATATTGATGAGTACATCAAGACTATGGTTACATCTCACACCCTTTCAGTTACAGTTCTTGTGCAGTTATCTTTTTAAAATGTTTGTTGTAAAACCATGATCTTTTTAAAGCATTAATTTTTAATGATACTATTCTTTGCACCTGCTCATCAGATAATTATTTAAAGAACATACCAGCCTTAGTATTGTGAAATTAATGAAAACAGAATCAATCACAGGCAATTACTGAAGATCACGGAATCATATATTTCACCAGTATGGATGCAGCTGCTTTATTATTTTCTGAGTGCTTACTCTTACTTGGTATTTATTTTGGACTGCCTTAAATTAGATGACTAAATCAATGAAACATGCATGTAAGAGAAATTACTTCACTGAGAACTAGACCCTTGAAGACCCATTTATCATCAGTTTCTTAGCACTCTAACTTATATTTTTAATTACTTCAGTCCATTCATAATAAATTAGAGTCACTGTTAAGCTCTTTCAGTTGTACTTTAAACTAACTTCCTGTCCTCAGGCAGCAAATATATATATACACTTGACTGCCAAAAAGTGCCTTTATATTTAATTCATAAACTCTTGAAGTTACACTTTTCTAATTTTGTATGGATTTTAAAATACATTACCTACCGGAGTGCCACTAGTGTCTAGCCTTTTAAGTCTTTAACAACTGCAGCTGTCAGTGAGACAGATTTACCAGAAAGGTAAAGAGCCTTTGCTGCTATAAAAAAGTGATTGTTTCCATTGGCAGGGTCTCTTTCCTGTAGGGCAGTTATTTCCATTAACTGATATCTTGCCTAATGTCTTGTCTCTGCACTACTGCTTTACAACTGCCGTACCAAAGTACTTTGTCCAGACCTAGACTGGATATGTCACCAGTTTCTGAAACAACCACCAAAGGATGCAGGCCTCTGTGCTTTATAGTAGTCTGTTACTCTTGGTATCAGGCAGCAGTATGAGTGTAGTAGCTGAGTATCTGTAAAAAGGAGATTTTAGCTATTGACATTCTTCAGGTTTTGATCAGTTATTGCAACATACTTTTTTTTTAGTCAGTGTTTCACCCCCAGATCTATTCATATCACTCCTTTTCTGCTACTGAAGAATGGCTCCAGACTTAGACCTGAATTTAGATGGTGATTTTTCATTTCTGCAGTTACTGTACTCAGCCTTGGGACTTGCTAAAAGCAGTGCAGATGAAAGTACCTGCACATTATCTAGCCTTTACCTGAGAGGTCTTCCAAATGTGTAAGTAAGGCTGAAGGAAAATATAAACACTTCTGCTTATTCAGATTTTTATTACAGCATGCTGCTTGTAAATTAATGATACCCAACTATGCACTTATTTGTAAGATGCCTGTTAGACTCTGAGTTGAAAAACAGTTTTAATAATCTATGTTAGGTCACTCCTAGTGATGTGGTATAACAGTGATTAAGGTGTTCTGCTACTGATGAAGAGCCATGTTTGAGCCTGATTGTGTATTCATTAATGTTTATAAATATGTTAAGGGTGAATGTCAGGAGGATGGAGCCAGGCTCTTCTCAGTGATGCCCAATGGTAGGACAAGGGGCAGTGGGTGTGAGCTGGAACACAGGAGGTTCCGCTTAAACTCCAGAAGAAACTTCTTTACAGTGAGGGTGACAGAGCCCTGGAACAGGCTGCCCAGGGAGGTTGTGGAGTCTCCTTTAGGAGTGGACTCCTTGTGGAGTCTCATTTAGGTTCCTGCTCTGGCAGGGGGATTGGACTAGATGATCTTTCAAGGTCCCTTCCAATCCCCAACATTCTGGGATTCTGTGATTTTTCTTCTTACTGCTGTGGTGGAGAGGATGTAGAAAAGAGAATGGGGAACTGGGAAACAAAGGTTGCTGGGTGTGGTACTAGTCATATCAGTTTGTGTGCTGGAAGCCACAGGAAGGTAGAATTCCAGCAGTCTAAAAGCTGCCTTAGATTGAGACAACCCTGAGATTTTTTGATTTGGTCACTCATGAAAAATAAATTCTGGACATGATGAACTATGACTGTGGCCAAGTGAAATGAAGTGTTTCCTCTAAAATTTGAAGTTATTCTTTGTGACTATAAACCAATAATGTAATTGGCTGTTTCTGTACACCTTGATTTGGGCTTTTTCACTGTAATTAATTGCTATAAAGCTGTTAAAAACAGAAATGCTAATTAGAAAACTTTTCATTTGAATTCATGAGTCTTTCACAGTCCTATTCCCTTGGATTTTGAAGATTTATCCATGAAGATAATTTACAGATTTGTGATCATATTATATTCCTTAGACTCTTCACCAAAGAATGATAAGGAGAAGGCACAGCATGAGCAACTCTGGAATCCAGTATTTGTAAATACAGATTTTCATCTGGATATCTCATTGCAGCAAATCTTGACATACAGTATATAATTTTTGCTGTTGTCTCTTTTGTCCCAAGGAAGTGTATTCTGTCAGCTTGAGGGAAATATCTGTTCCATAAAAAGGCTTTCTGAAAACCACAAGGCAAATGAAATGCAGAGAGGTAATCAGGTTTGCAATCAGTTAATAGAAAATAATCTGCTTGCACACACTTTTGGCTATGACACAGTCAGTGACTCAGCACACAGACAGGCAATTCTGGTCTTTTATAAAATACGTTATTTTGCTCTGAAACATATGGCCATTTGGTTACTTTACAAAGATTATAATCTTGGAGGCTCCATTAAGCTGCCACTAAAGTAAACAAAGAATATATACATACGCATAGCAATATAACCTGTGTTATGCCTAAGGTATACAGGTTTGTGACTTGCAAGCAGTGAGTTCTGATTATAGAAATTGTACTTTTATAATAAAGGGACTGTTTTCAGATGTACCAGATAAAAGAAAAAAGATTGTTTCACCTAATTAAACATCTAATGATAAGGAAACTGCCAGAATGTTGAACTTAATAATTTATCATCTCTTCTCTTGTGTCAGCATAATCAAAATAGTTGTTCCTGCAAGATGAACTAATGAACCCTTCTTTTCAGCACTTTGATGTACTAATATTATCTACACAGAGTAAGTGCTCTGCTAAGATTCCACCGTCACACAATATTCAGTTTTGAAATTGTGGCTATAGCAAGTGTTTGTTTTAATAGAGCAGCGTGCCCATTTAGGGCGATGCCTGCAGAGGGCCCGATTTTACTTTCATTGTAAATCAGAGGTGGCCTTAATGAATGCAGTCGACTTCAAGCAGGTATAAAACCAATATAAGTAAGAAACGATGCAGGCCTCTGAGTTTGAATGCTTTAATTTCTTTCTCTGATATTTTAACATTGGTCAAAATCCCACAGAATTGTCAGAAAAAAACACTTCCTTGCCTTAAAGACTTTTACCCTACACAATCCCGTAAGACCAGAGTAAGTGTAGGAGGACTGTTGTAGATCACTGATTTATGATTTAAAGTCTAACTGTTTATAGGGGTAAAATCAGCATAGAGCTTTCATGTCTTGCAGAATGTGCAGCTGGCCAAAACTGGCTTCATCCAGAGCAGGCTCTGTGTCTCAAAGCACTTTCCTTCTGGAACTGAGGACTGCTGGCGTAGTTGTTTATCAAGTTATCAAGGGTCCATCAGGGTTTGCTAGCTCCTGCACAGTGTCAGATCCAAGCATATGTAGGTAGAATTGCCTGTGTATTGCAGTTGCATGCTAAGTTTGAGAGCACTCAATTAGCAGCACTGAATTCGTGGAATTCTCCCTTCCTCTCGCTAGCTGAGAGAACTGAAGAAGATGATGTAGAAGCATGAGGGTTTCTCCTGTGGGAATGACACTGTGTCTGACTTGGCCAGCAATAAGATGGTTAATATTTGCTTTAGTGTCTCTGAGGGCTCTGAATTAGGGAAGGGCTTCCTAGCAGGCAGTCAATGCTGGTGAGTGCAGTGCAGGAGACCCATGGGTGTTCTTGCAAGCCTGCTAGCCTTGAAGTCCAGCTGTAGTGTGTGCCCACTGCCTCGATGCAGGACTAGCTCAGTATCCTTGCACAGAGAAACAGTGTTTTCCTCATTACACACATAATCTATTTTCTTTTTTTCCCCGCTAATTCAGCAAATGGAGAACTTTCTGTATCAATAACGCAGTGTTTAACATTAATGTTGGTTAGATCCTACTTTTATGACAATATGGTGCAGTTCAGAGTTTGGTCCTTTTATACAGGGAAAAAAAAAAAACAACAGAGCATGTTGAGTTAATGACATGTTAATGCAAAGACGTATTTTCGGTTACTTGTTCACAGACTTGATAAAAGTGGTCAGTATAGGCCTGCCTCAAGCGAGTACATGAAACTTGTAGAGCAGAAGACCATGTAGGGCAGCAGTATTGCTGGGACCTTCCTACTTTGTTTATGTCTGAGTCCTAGAAGGCACCAGTGGTCACCACTGAGGGAAGAAGGGGGTAGGTGCTGGCAACAGCTTATGGCTAAGTAAAGAGGAAGTTGTGCCTTCCTGAAGGAAATGCTTTGCTTCCACTTTTTATAATCTATACCACCACAAGTAGTAAAATGTGCTTTCCAGGGCTTTTGCTTTTCTTTGTCTTCATCCTGACCTGTCTCACTTTTACACCCACAAATTTTCTCCTCTTCCTCTTACCTCACTTCTATCCCTTTGTCCTTTGGATGACAATATTAATATTATATTTTGCCAGAATTACTGAAAATCCTGAACTGGCCATTTGGTTGATAAGAATCTGTGTTAGAAATAAGCTCAGCTATTAAAAGAGCTATATTCACAGCTCTTCATAGCCAGTCCAGTGATATTTTTTTTTTGTGTATGTGTTCATGTTGCCTAGTTTCAAATGCATAGTTCCTACTGAATTCCTGTGCAATGAACCTGTGATTGCACAGCTTTTGAAGTATGTAGTGGCCCTTCATTCTCACATGTAACATCTATTGCATAAGAGAGTTATCCTTTTCACACTCAAAAAGGAAAAACTGTGTCTACTTGGTTTTCTTGAGACTTACACTTAGTGTCCCTGACTTCTTTAAGAGCTGTTATGTGTGTTGGGCAGATAATTTATATGCATGTCTGTAATTGGAACACAAAACATGAGATTTGGAGCACTGAAAGTAAACTTCCTTTATTCCTAAGCTTACAGAATATGTTTGTGGGAGAGACATTAGCTGTTGTTTAGAAAATGG